GGGGGGGGCACAACTCTAAACTCAGGAGGAAAACAAAGGTCAGAGTGAGGTCACAGAGAACCAGCATTTCAAGGAAGGCAGCTGTGGTGGAAGTGCTACCTAGAGGCAAAGTTCTGAAAGTTGAAAAGAGTCAATCTAATAGTGGCTGGACCATAACCAGCTCCCTAGAGCAAGCTAGGCCAAAGCCAAGTGTACTGAGTCAGCATAGTCAGAGAAGCAGAGAAAGACAAACCTTTTGGTAGCTACTCTCCCATTGACTAGAATTAAAGAGAGAGAAGCAAGACGTTAGCAGGAAGTAATACATAAAAGGAAAATATTATGGCTGGCAAGATGGTTCAGTGGGTAAAGGGATTTTCTCTGAAAGCATGATGATCTGAGTTCAATCCCCGGAACCCACATAAAGGTGGCAGAAAAGAACCAATTATACAGGGTTGTCCTCTGACCCCTACATGAGCCTTCACACAGACACAAATCACAGACACCCACAATAAGAATGAGTTATTTTTAAATATAGGTGCTTTTTTTTTTTTTTTTTTTTAAAGCTGAATGGTAGTGGAGCACACCTTTAATCCCAGAGGCAGGCAGATCTCTATGAATTCAAGGCCAACCTTGTCTACAGAGAAACTTCCAGAAGAGTCAAGGCTATACAGAGAGACTTTGTCTCGAAAAACATATATATGTGTGTGTATACGTGTGTGTGTATTAAGCCCTCTAGGAGTGAGAAGATCTTAGCAATCATGGCGAAGGGGGTGTGTTACTAAAATCCCTTCTGCAATTACCCCAAGCCAATGCCAGCATCACAACTTGAAGCCATGACCACACAACCTACTCTCAGTCCAACGTCTCTGCTCAGAAGCTCTTCCAGGCTTAACCAACCAGGCCTGCAAGATTACACACCTCTCCCACCCTGCTTGCTCTGGTACCCGCCTCCCCAGTTCTACATGGCATAGATTGTCATGACCCATCCCAGACCCCAAACCTCTCCTCCTCCCCTCCCCCTCCCCAGCTTCCACCGTACCCTCTCACATTCAGTGGCTGCTCAGGGCTCCTCTCCTAAAGTCACTCAGGCGCCCATACCCTTCTCCAGCAGTATTCAGATTGGGAGAGACACCTCACCATGCAAAACCCAATTTTGCACTGTACCCAGTGGAGGAAAGACAAATACGCATGTAGATGCATGCGTTTTAATACGGAGGTAGACAGCAAAGATGGCTTCCCTGGAAGTTCCTGCATGGTGGTCACCAGCTTTCACATTTGTGTTGTTTTTGTTTGGTTTGTGGGGTTTTTTTTGGCCAGCATGTCTCATAAGACCAGTTAGTGTCTTCATTTACCACCCGTAAGGCTGATCCTCACGTAGGGCTGGAGGCAGCATCTCTGGTAATTTCTACAGTAGAAGTAGGGCTGTTCATCCTTCTTGCAGGAAGGCCTACAGAATCCTAGGTCAGCCATGCATGGAAGGGGAGAATTTCTGCCTGGTTAAAAAAAAAAGAAGAAGAAGAATGATAATTAATTTCTGCTTACTAGTGACATAGACTGGGGGAGACAGGAGCACAGAAAAACACCTGATGGTTGACAGTGAGCACCACAGCCAGTGAGACAGTTTCTCTGTCCTGCTGGGTTCAGGGCAAGGCTCTGGACGTTAGTATGGTGAACACAGGAGGAGACCGGCACAAAAACAGACAGAGAGGTGGATGGGAAAGATCAGAGGGCTCATAAGCAAGCCCACACAGCTAGGGACACCTAATCTTGGCAAAGGGGTCACAAACACATGCTGGGAGGAGGAGGCTTACTCAGCAGCTGGTGCTGCAGGCATGCAAACCAGATCCGCAGCTCTCACGCTGAGCAAAAGTCCTCTCCAAGCAGATTAGGGGCCTTGATTTAAAACTAGAAACACTGGGAGTGCTAGGAGAAAGTGCTTCAGGATATAGGCACAGAAATTTTCTCAGTCGGACTCTAACAGCCCAAGAAGTGACTCCAAGAATTTACGAATGAGGTTAAATTAAATTAAAAAGCTTCCTACAGCAAAAGAAACTATCAGTAGAGTGGCTAAGAGAAAGAGGGAACAGTATTTTCATCTAAACCTCAAACACAGGGTTACTATCGAGAATATATAAAGAATGGCAAAAAACCAAACTATAGGGCCCGAAGAGATGGCTCAGTGGTCAAGAGCATTGGCTATTCCAGAGAACCTAGGTTTCATTTTTCAGCACCCACATGGCTGTTCATAACTGTCTGTAGTTCCAGCTCCAGGGCACCCCAAATCATCATCTGGCTTCCATGGGCATGGGAAAACATGCAAGCAAAACACCCACACATACAAAATAAAATAAGCATTTAAAAAAAAACCCTGACACCCCATCCTTTCAGCCCCAGACAGGTGGGAACCACTGCACTCACTTTTAAACCAGAGTAAGCTGTAAGAAATGTTTCATTTTTTTTCCATCACTGTTACAGAGTGGAAAATGAACCATTACTCTGTAAAATAACTTAAATTTTATGTTGAAATAAAATTAACTCCTCTGCTACTCTAAACGAAGATGAAGAAGAAGAAGAAGAAGAAGAAGAAGAAGAAGAAGAAGAAGAAGAAGAAGAAGAAGAAGAAGAAGAAGAAAACTCAGACACCAAAGAGTAAAATTGCCAATCAATAAATAGGCCAATGAGCTGACTAGACATATATCAAAAGAAGAAACACATATGGCCAATAAGTCTCTTTGAAAGTATTTGATATCTGTAGCCATAAGGGAAATGTGGGAGGCGGAACCCTTGTCCACTGTTTGCAAGAATGTAATGGGCTCAGCCCTGTGGCAATCAGCCTGGAGGTTTCTGAAGCAGCTAAAAACAGCTATCACACGACCCACATACATACCTGGTATATACCCAAAGGACCATGCAGCACTTCCACGGCCACCAGGCTCTACAGTGCCACTGGAGGACATGTGGAAGAGAGAGTGCACCTCCCAACTAGGGTGCCATTGAAGGACAAAAACTTAGGAGCTGGAACCTCCAAGTGCACTTCCGCTGCCCCTAGTTATGTGTGTGCACTTGTGTGTGTGATATACGGAAGCCAGACGTCAACCTTGGCTGTCATCAGAAACCGTCTACTTTGTTTTTTGAGACAGGGTCTCCCAGTGGGGCCTGACCTGGGTAAGTTGGGCTGAAATACTTGGCAAGAACCACAGGGATCCTCTTGTCACTGTCCTTCCAACACTGAGAAGACGACTCACTCCAGCATGTTCAGCTCTGTGTGGCCCCTGGGAATCCCAAGTCAGGTCCTCAAGCTTGTGCACTGAGCATTTAACCACTAAGCCACCTCTCTGGCCCCCACACAGGCCTTATTAAAACATCCTGGTTAAAACCATGAGCTCAAGGGCTGGAAAGAAGGCTCAGTGGTTCAGCGCATTTGCTGCTCTTGCAGAGGACTGAGGTTCAGTTCTCAGCACTCATATGGTGCCTCATAACCATCCATAACTCCAGTTCTAGGGGACCCAGTCCCCTTTTCTGAGCTCTGTGGGCACCAAGCATGCACATGGTAACATATACACATGAGGCAAAACACTCAGACACACACACACAAAAATTTGAAAACTGAGCTCATGACAGCATGTGATCCAAGCTCGGCCTTGGCTCCTGAAAACAGAATGTGATTGACTCTTCTCCTGCTGCCTACTGGTACAATCCCAAAGTTCATGGGTGAACCTAGGGAACAGCCCATGTTCTGGAAGTAGCCTCAAGGGAGCCTTGGGCAGACAGCAGCAGACCCTACTGATCAAAGCACAAGCCTGAAGGCAGGGTGAGAGTCACTGGACCAGTATTTTCTCACTCTGTGGGAGGGGCTCAGAGGAAGCCCAGAGCAGAGGCAGGATCACGAACAGGAGGTAACTTGGTGCCTCTTTCTCTAGGATATTCTCTGCCTATATCATAGTCAAGTTCTGCCTTGATGGCATGTGTTATGCTTCTGGAGTCCCCAGGTCTCATCCTTAGAAGCATAGCTCATCCTTAGAGCTAAGTACTCATCCTTAGAAGCATAGCTCAGGGGTGAGCAACCACACTGTAGAAATGACGCCCCCAAGACCAGGATTTGAGACAGCCACGTAGTCCCACACATTCCACATCAGGATCCTTAATTTCCCAATTTCTAGTCTCACCCGTGTTGATTTATCCACCCCAACGATGTAGATTCTGTCCCTTGGCTCCCCCCGCCAGAGTCAGGGAAGACTGGCAGTACTTCCACTTCCCGGGCCTGCAGAAACTGAGGAGGGACTCAGACAACGTACCTGAGTCCTTAGACCCCTGCTCTGTGCCGGTTTAATTTCTACTGTAACCCTGAGCTACATGATGCTGTCTGTTGTCCGGCCTTTCCAAAACGAGATGCTGAACTCTGGCAGACTTATAAGCTGCGCCCATTAGTGGTAAGAGGCAGAGCTGGGATGGGTGAGTGTGTGCATAAATCTGTGAGAGAATGCTAAAAAAGTGAATAGTGAACAGGTCGGTCTATGACTGAATGAACGGTAGGTACTTTTCATATTTGGAAACTTTCTGGCCCCCGAGGCTAAGAGCGATTGGGCATTAATGAAGCTATTTCAGCTGATGGCCCTAGAAATCCAAAGATTTAGGTTCCACTCAGCCCTGCCCACCTTTGACCCATTTTCTCTCAAGATGAACCACCCACCCCTGCACCCTCAGCTTTCGTCTGTCTCAACAGCTGCTCCTGGGGCTGGCGGGTGACACCATCTTCAACAAGGTGCTCCCCACCCGACTACCAAGATCCAATCCTGACGACTTCTCTCCGCTGCCTCTGAACTCCATGACAGACAGACAGACAGACGAAACACTCAATTCTGTGAACTTTAATGTGGGGTAGGGACTAAAGGATGAGAAGCCACGTCCGTTTCTATCCATAGAGGGATCTTTTTTTCTTTTTATGGACTTCTAAGGGCATCGTAGCACTGGTCCAGTCAAGGACTCCATCAATAACCTCAGCGGGGATTGTTAAGTAGCGCTCTGGGACACAGCAGCGTTTGCGATTTTGGCAGCGTATGACGCTGTCTTCACCATCCTTGCACAACACCCGGCAGTGTCCGTCCTTCCAGCATTCGTCTTTGGGGCATAGGAGCAACTGTTAGGTGTGCATTGGTATTGCTCAAGGGACAGACAAGAAGCAGCAGAGCACAGGCAGGCAGGGGAGAAGCAGCCACATAGTTGATGAGCAGTGTTGATTTGGGTCCCAAGAAAGTCGAGTGGGCCGTGAGAGGGAGAGCATAGAGGTGACTGATCTTGGAAAGCTTTCAGGAAATCTCTCCTTTGTTTTTGATATGGAGTCTCAGCTCCTGGCTTGAAACTTGGTTATGTAGAGCAGGCTGGCCTTGAGCTTACAGAAGTTTGCCGGTCTCTGCCTCCAGTGCTGGGATTAAAGGTGAGCGCCACCACATCCAGCCAAGAAAAGTTCTTTCCACAGTATCTCCCCAGCCACCATCCTGGCCACCCCCAACTTCCTAGCACTTACTTCCTCCAGAATTGATATGTGTGAGCCTGGGAATGGTAGGAAAGGCACAGTGTCCACGTGCTGCCACTGTGGACAGAAGAGCTCACTCCATCACAGTGCAGCACCGGAAGCTCATTAACAGCTGGTGACAGGAGCCAGCACGCCGCAGCCGCAGCCAAGTGTCCAGTCCCCCTTGATCTCATACTCACCTAATTTAAACTCGAGACCCAGCCAAGCCTCCTGCCTCAGCACATTCAGTGATCCAGGTGGCCTCACTCCAAGCCAAACCCAAACTTGATCAAGTCACCAGCCCAGCGCCAAGCAGCTGCCCGCCACCAAGCTGAATCCAAGTACCCTGCACACCAGGTGCTTGTCCCCGCCCCCACCTATTCCCAGCCATCAAATGCCAGCAGCAGCCCTACTCAACCAAGTCTCACCCCTCTCCGTGTCGCTCCAAGCTGTCAGGAAAACCAGGCTGTCACTTTCAGTCCGTGCTGTGGCTCTGTCTGTCACCCCAGGCCCTGAAGGCTCCCTCATCGAGAACCAGCCCTAGCCAAATCCCCAACCAGAACCCAACCCTTCACTCCTCAACCCTCTCCTAAGTTCCCACCAGAATGCCACTCTTGCCCCAAGGTACCAGACCACACCCCCAAACATCTCTTATGCAGCTACTTAGCAAAAGAGATTGAGAGAGAGACAGAGAGAGAGAGAGATAGAAAGAGACAGAGATAGACAGAGAGACAGAGAGAAAGACAGAGACAGAGAGACACACACAGAGACAGAAAGACAGAGTCAGACAGAGAGACATACAGAGAGACACACGCAGAGAGAAATAGAGCACAGTATGAATGACAGGATCTTGAGGTAGCTTCCGAAACTGTGTGAAAGCTGAAAAGCCTTGGGTGTCGCCCATTGAGAGTGAAAGAAAGGAAAGAAATCCAGAGACAAGAACCGGATCCTAAAAGAACCCAAGGTACCTGCCATCACCAGTTCTGTTGCCACAGATATGGCAAGAAGCAGAAGCAACAGCTTCATGGTGGCAAGAAATAGGCTGAAGATGGTAGCAGCTGCAGAGGACAGGAGCAGTGTTCGCTGGGGAAGGGATGAGCCTCCTTTTATCAGCAGGCCGTGGGCGGGCACTTAGAACAAGGGGGATTTGTACAAGGTCAGCTCGACCAAAGGACAGCACGTGGCACACACAAAAGAGAGGGAGTGTGGGAAAGCAGCTGGCACCTATGCCAGACATGGCTTCCCTCCAGGGGAGCACAGGGGTGAATGAAAACTTTGGACTTTTGAGACCTATGATTAGTTCATTTATTAGACATGAGTACGTGTCAATGGACGTTAAAGTTTGAAGAGTTATTAGTTCTTAGCTTATTTCTCTCTGTGTCTCTCTCTTTCTGTCTCTCTCTCTTTCACCTTCTAGCACATTCCACACCAAGGCGTCAGCCTACGTTTCCCTCTGCAAGGCCTCCGAGCTTCCTCGGATGACTGCTGAGGCTACCTGTCACTTCAGGTATCTCTGCTGGTTGTCAGGCCTTTCCTTGTGGCCTTCATCGGTTCATATGAGATTTTCACATCTCTTGTATGTATTTCATCTTCGTTTTTCTCACTGAGCTGCAGGAACCTGTCTGGAGCTATGGCCTTCAGAGGATCATGCACTAGAAGCTTCTCAGTGTCGGGGAGGGGGTAGAGCCTTTAACAGGGAGGGCCACCTAGAGCTGGGCAGATGGCTCCATGGGTAAAATATTTGTTGTGTAAAAGTGAAGACTTGGGTTTGAATCCCCAACACTCACAAAACCAACCAACCAACAAACCAACACACTCAGTCTCAAACATCTGTGATCCAAGAGGGGGAAAGCCAAGACATGGTTGACCCTATGGCTCCCTGGCTAGCTAGGCTAGGCAAATCAGTGCATTCCAGGTTCAGCAAGAGACCTTGTCTTAAAAGGAGAGCAATTGGGAAAGATACCACACACACACACACACACACACACACGCACACACACGCACACACACACACACACACGCACACGCACACACACACACACGCTCAAGCTCACTTACTCACTCACATACTCAAGAGATTCACAGCTGGAAATCTGTCCTCCAGTTAGATCCCAAGAAAGTGGGTTGTTGTAACAAGAATGAGATTGACGGCTGGTCATCTCTGGCTTCCTGCTTCACCATGTGGTCTTCTCCGCTGGGGTGCCACCTAGCAGGTGAGCTTTGGTGAGGCGGGACAGGTGAGACTCATATTTGTGTTGAACTGTGGTGTGTGTGTGTGTGTGTGTGTGTGTGTGTGTAAATTTTACACAAGTATGTATGCTCACATGGTAATATTTAGGTATTTCTTGTGGTTTACATATGTACTGGATATGGGTGGGAATGTTTATATTACCAAGTGGTTTGTGTGGAGACTCAGAGGTGGTTAAGTAGGTGTTTATAGACACCCCTCTGTCCTCAGACCTTCACAAACAGTGTCCACCTCAGTTCTCTCTATATCCCATGACTCTGGACACTGGTAATGTCTTGGGAATTTTCCTACTGAGCTGGAGATGTGGGACAGAGCTAGGAGGAGAGGCTAAAGGAGGTGTGGAGAGCAGGGGCTGACCTTTTTGGCAGAGCCCGAGGACATAAGGAAGGAGGCGAGCTTTGCCTGGAGGGACAGCTTGATAGTGGTTGCTGCAGAGTGTCTGTGAGAGACAAGATGAGAACAAACTGCACTGTCCAACTTTAGAAGTCTCCCACACAAGAACAGCACGTCCTGGCTCGCTAGAAAGGCCACCTCACCTTCAACCTGTTTGATCTGGGCCACTGTTCTCTCAGCTCCACAGGGAAGAGAGGAAAGAACACTGGTGGTCAGGGTCCCACGGGGAGGCCAGCACAGAACTTCAACCTGATCTCACAGGCTCTTCTCAGGAAAGCCACTAAGTGAATGACAAAGTCTTTGATGAAGACTTCTCCCCTCTGTGCATTCACGCTCCATCTGACCCCTGTGACCCAGGAGGAGGCAATGGACTGCCAAGGTTTCAGAAAGTATGGTAAGGGTATCTCAGAAAGGCCAGGGTCTGAGCCAACCCTCCACACTAGCACATCTCCCTGAGAGACACAGATGCCAGAGTGAAGTAGTTTACCTGTAAACTAGTGTGTGTGTGTGTGTGTGTGTGTGTGTGTGTGTTGAGGGCTGAAGCTAGGGATTAGTATAAGCTATACAATGTGTTCTACCAACCAAGCTACACCTCTTTTTTTTTTTTTTTCTGTTTTTGTTTTTGTTTTTGTTTTTCAAGACCGGGTTTCTCTGTGTAACGTCCCTGCCTGTCTTGGAGTCACTTTGTAGACCAGGCTGGCCTTGAACTCACAGAGATCTGCCTGCCTCTGCCTCCCAGAGTGCTGGGATTATAGCGTGCACCATGCCCGGCTTAGTCCTTTTATCTGTAAGTCTTCAAAACAGTAAGGGAAACACTAAGAGTGATCCATCACCCTCAGACCTGAGGAAATGCTGTATTGATTTTATTTTACTTTAACCTGGTAAGATGTTCGTCGTCCATCATTACTAGGTTCATGCCGTTCTGTCCTCAGCTTGATCTTCCCAGGACAGCCAGTGTCTAGGAATGAGAGTCCCATTCCTTAGCCATGACTTTGTGTCGGGAGCTGAGGACATCTTGAGTGAGTGTGTAGAGATGGAATGAAGTCCTGAGTGAATACATATTCTCTAGTTGACACGGGCATGGCCACATTAAGGGTAAAGACCTCAGACCCACAGAAAATTGGCAAAGCATTTCCCCGGAGTCAGACTAGGAAAAGCAAAACCTTTCTCTGGCCCAAGTACAAGCTTTTACAAATGGTTGACCAGTGTGTGTAAAAACTAACAAAGGCACCCCCTCTGCCCAGGAGTTTACATTCTGAGACGGCTCACCTACGGAGACTTTTCACTAACACTAGCTAGCCTCTCCCACGGTGCTGAACGTCATCGGCCATGCTGAGACTCCAGGTTGCTGAGGCAGTTGATACCATGCCATCCGAGTGCTCAGGAGCCCCTGACCCAGCTTTTCGGGATTTACCTGCGTATCTGTCCTTTCTCCACTCCCTTGTCACCACTCTTCAGGCTCCAGACTGGAGCCTGTTGGCATGTAGAAACTTTAGTCTTCTCTTCTCCGTTTCTCAGGATCAGGCTGATCATGCTTTCTGTTTCTCTGGTTGCTTAGCCTCACCGAAGCCCAGGCTGCTCCTTCCCTCCACACACTGTCGGCCAGATGCCAAACCCATCTCCTCTCCCATCCCAGTGAGGCCCAGCCTCCACCTATTAACAGCAGTCCACTAAAACAAACAAACAAACAAATAAACAAAAAAAAAAAACAAAGAGAAAGACAAATGTGTAAATTTGTCTGTTAGGCACGGATTTATTGTGTTGGTTTAGAAAATATGGTCAAAAGACTCCAATAGCAGCTGTGTTGCTACTGAGAGGGTGGGAAGCCGGTTGTTGCCTTGTCCAAGGCTGAGCGCTCCACGCTGCCCAAGGCCTGCAGTGGGTTCCTGAAGAGTCACTGGTTTCCAGTCTGCACTGGAGGCCTGAAGAAGCTGCTTCCAACACCAGCTAATGAAATCAGCAGCAGAGATGGGGTAAACAAGCCTGTCGGAGGGAGGAAGGCCAACAAAGCAAACAGCAAACAATCCCACCTTTCCCCTGCCTTGAAAAAAAAATCTGGTTGTTACCAGACTACACCATGTACATTTGGAGTGGGTCTTCCCGAGTCAGGCAAGAGCGTACCCCACAGATTTACCCACAGCTCACAGGCCAAGCCGAAGCAGGCAATTCCTCTTTGAGGATGCGTGATCGGTGGGTAGGCCTGGAGGACGCACACTTGAAATGGCTTCCTTGTTTCTAGGTCTCCCTAACAAAGATGGGGGGCAGGCAAGGAGCAGTCTCCTTGGCTGCTCCCGAAACACGTGCACAAATATACACACCCACTCACGCTCATTTTCAGTGTCCCACCTGAAAAAGGAAGAGCACTCAGAGCACAAGGACTGGCTTCTCTTTCAGAGATAGAGAAAAACAACAACAACAACAACAACAACAACAACAACAAAACAGTATGTTTTCACCGATGCCCACTCAAAGAAAATAGGGAAAAAGTATCAGGCAAATACTACATTAAGTTCTTGCAAAGATCTATTTATGTTTGTTTTATATGTGTGAATGTTGTGCCTGCATGTACGAAAGTCTATCGTGTGCTTGTCTGGCACAGAAGAGGCCAGGAGAGGGCATCCAGTGCCCTGGGGCTGGAGTTAGAGAGGACTGTGAACTGTGGTGTGGGTGCTGGGACTCGAATTCAGAACACTACGAAGCCATCTCTCCAGCCCGTGTGTCAAATTCTTAGTCTGTTTCCTTCCCACCTGTGGTTTTGAAACACAGGTGACACATGTTTTCGGTCTTACAAACTATACAAATCATGGTCTAAGGACAAGACACCTTGTCTTTAGTGAGGGAAGGTCTGGGGACAAAGTTATATAGCTCACTGTAGTGACTTGTGTCTGGTACACCAAGGGTCTTGAGTTTCACACCCAGCATAGCAAAAAGAGAAATAAAGTCACCCTTGGCTAGGACTAGAGGGTGATGAGACATGTGGCTAAAAGTACCCTAAGAGGGAGAGTACCCCGAGAGTAGTGCTGCTGGTGTGTTCAGTCCAAGGCATCTCTTCCCCATGTTCTGGGTCTGGCTCTGGCAAAAGGAAACAATCCAGAAGGAGGGCAAAGCTGGTGCTCTCAAAGTGACCGTGGGCACCTCTTCAAACTCAGCGTCCGAAGCCCTTGTATGTTTGTGGCAAGGAGAATCATCTCCCACCATGGAAGGTGCCAAAGACTCTGGCCTGGCTGTTGCATACCTATAACCCCAAGCACTCAGGAGGCGGAAGCAGGTGGGTCTTTGCGAGTTCAAGACCAGCCTACTGCACATAGCAAGTTCCAGGACAGCCAGTGCCCTGGAGGTTAGCCACTGCTGTCAGCGCTCACCTTCCTGACTTCTCAGCCTGTCT